AAAAAAAAAAAAGGGTTGCAGCATTAGGAAGGTTGAGAACCACAGGCTTAAGCCCAAGAGTTGGAGGTTGCTGTGAGCTGTGATGCCACAGCACTCTACCAAGGGCAACACAGTGAAACTCTGTCTCAAAAATAAATAAATAAATAAATAAAATATTTATTGAATTGGCATGGCTGTTCATGCCTATAATTCTAGCACTTTGGGAGGCTGAGGCAGCAGGATTGCTTGAGGTGAGGAGTTCAAGCCTAGCCTGGGCAATTTAGTGAGATCCCACATCTACAAAAACAGAAAAATTAGCACAGGTCTGTAGTCCCAGCTACTTGAGAGGCTAAGTTAGGATTACTTGAGCCCAGGAGTTTGAGGTTGCAGTGAGTTATGATGACACTGTTGTCATCTTGCCCTGGCAACAGAGTAATACCTTGCCTCAGAAAAAATTAAATAAATAAATAAAAATGTTTTTTATTGAGCACTTAATAGTCAGCAGTCAGCTTTCCCAATATGTAGGTTCTGAAGCTGTATATTCAACCAACTGTGGATTAAAAATATTTGGGGGGCAGTGCCTGTGGCTCAAAGGAGTAGGGCACTGGCCCCATATGCCAGAGGTGGCAGGTTGAAACCCAGCCCTGGCCAAAAACAGCAAAAAAAAAGAAAATATTTGGGAAAAATAGAAAAAAAAATACAAATGTTAAAAATATAGTATAACAACTATTTATATAACATTTACACTGTATAAGGTATTACAAGTAATCCAGAAGGGATTTAAAGTATACTATGTAAGCATGCGTTATATGCAAATCATTTTGATTTCAGTATCTGTGGGAGACCTGAAAAAATCTCCCAAGAATACCACGGGACAACTGTATACACAGGGGTGAGGGAAGGTGGGGAAAAGGACAAGATAGGATATAGCAAAAAATAAAATATGCTTTCATGAAGCTTAAATACTAAGTAATCAAAAAGGAAGCAAATAAATTAAGCTCATTACAGACTGTGAAAGTAGCTGAGAGGGTAGTGATTGGAGTCCTGTGATAGAAAGTACCTGGGAAAGACCACCTTAGATAGGATGCTCAAAAAGTGTCTGACTTGAGACCTAAAAAAAAAAAAAAAAACAGAAGAATTCAGCCCGTCAAGAGCCACAGAAGAACATTCTAGGCAGAAGAAACATCAATGGCAAAGGCTCAAGGTGAGAAATAATTTGGCCTATTTCAGGAAGTGAAAGAAAGTCAATAAGGTATCTGGCAAGGAAACAGTGGTAGGAGACAACAAGAGAGGTAGTAGTAGCCAAACCATAAAGCATCTTGTAGGCCATGGTAAGGAAGATGGATTCTGTGTTAAGAGCAATGGGAAGCCACAGCAGGTTTACAGGAGGAACAGGGCATGATCTTTTTTTTTTTTTTTTTAAAGATCGTTTGGGTTGCTGGGTAGAGAACTACCCCAAACTGAGGAGGGGAAGTCAGGAAAGATGACGGTGGTTTGGACAGGAGCTCTGGCTAAGGAAATTTAGAGAAGTGGACAGATTTGAGATACAATCCTGACCAAACTTACTGATGGATTGAATATGTTCATGTAAGGAAAAGGTGGAGTTTGCTTTAACAAATGGGTAGAGAGATCATTTATTGAGACGGAGAAAGTACAGTTTTTAAGGGGGGAAGTCACAAGTTTTGCTTTGCCTATGACAAATTTAAGACCTCTATCCTACATCCAGGTGGAAAACGCATGTGGATCCTAATCTAGAACTCTGATGAGACTTAGGTGAAGTTATTCTAGAAGTCAGCACACTACATGACTCTACATCCTGGTCTGTCGGTCTTCGGGGTACACAAAATAACTACAATACCTCTCCCCGTTCAGCCCTTAGCATCTGCCAGGAGGCTGGACTTTACCCTGCGGGCAACGGGGAGCAGGGAAGATGAGCGCTTGCGGTCAGGCTAGGCTGCAGAGAACTAAAGCCGAGAGGGTTGGGGAGGACTCCGGACAGCTGCCAAACGGGCTGCCACCCTAGGCCACCGTCACGCGGTCCCCTCCGCCCCTCACCTTCCCCGCCGGCCTCCCGCCCCCGGCATCCGAGCCTCCTCTGCCTTCCAGCATCATCTCCTCACTAAGCCTTACTGGGCTTCGCTCTCACCTGCCTCCTCACACCGGGCTGTGCTCTTGCCCTTGGCCTTCTGATGGCTTGATTTGGGTTCCTGCTGCTGCCCGCCCGCCGTGCGCTTACGAGCCATGTTGCCCGGGCGAGACCCGCTTCACCCGCGAAGTAGCAAGGGACCGGATACGGCCCGAGCGCGGGCCCCGCCCCCGGCGCGTCACGCCTCCAACGAAGCTCCGCCCAGTCCCAAAGGCCGCTGTAAACACGGAGGAGCAAGAGGGGCAAAACAAACATCTCCGGGCTTCCGGTGCATTGTGCGCTTGCGCTTCCGGAAACTGGACCTGTTCTCGCGAGAGGCGGGAAAGGGCGCAGGGTTTGACATGGCGGACGACGTGGACCAGGTGAGTGTGTCCCAAGCCCCTCGTCCAGAGCAGGTTTCTCACTCCCAGCCTTGTCCCTGCTCGGCTTCGCGTACCAGGGATGCATTCTGCAAGCTCACAGAAAAGTGGCCGGTCGTGCCTCCCTTTTTCGGGGTCATTGTGGCCTAATCTATCCCGTACGTTCCTTTGCCGCGCCCCCTTCGAATTTTGCCTCAGGCCTGGAGCTCTTTTCTTGTTCTAAGCTTGCCTGACACCTAGTTGTTACTGATTATTACTTTCGTCGCTTCATTTTTTTTTTTTTTTTAGTCTGACCTTTATTTGCAGAATGCATTTATTTGCCTGCCTCATGGAGCTGAAAGATTTTTGGTAGAAAGCGTGATAATAAGGCGTTATTATCATAACTGCAACAATTATTTATTCATTCGGCAAACATGAAGTGAACATCTGCTTTGTATGGGTAGACACTGTTGTAAGCAACAGGGACACTGGCATTAACATATAAGTGATCCTTGACATCCCTTGGAGCTTATATTCAAGAGGAAGACATAAAAGTAGATAAAAATAAGAGCCATAGGAACTGTGATCCAGAATCACATATGGTCTTATAAGCTTTTCACCTGCTCTTCGCTCTTCTGCTATCTTTGTGGAGCAAGCCACACTTCATTCAGCTTCATATTGACATCTCTTTCATCAAAGAGGAATTCACCTGGGTGAAATAGCACTCGCCCCCACTGTGCTTACTCTGGTTTATTTTTCTTCATAGCATGTTTTTTTTTTTCACACATGCATTAAATATTTGGCTCTTGAACGTGTTATGTTTCCCCCACTAGAATGTAAGTTCTAAGAGAGCAAGATTTTTATTTGGTTCACTCTTCTGTCCTTGGGTTTTAGAACAGTGCTGAACTCAACAAATATTTATTGAGTGAATTAGATGATAAGAAGAGGACGCTTTGAAAAGGCAATATTTAAAGCAACAGGATGAAAAAAGGGAGGCAATGGGCATCCCAGACAGAGGCTTAAGTAGCAGTAAGTTACTGTAGTGTGTATATTGTTATAGTATTATAATTATTTATTTATGTGCCTCTTTACACTAGAATGAGCTCTGTAACATTGTAACCCAGTGGTTGGTTATCTGGTCTTTTACACAAACACCTGTTGAACTCAGGAGGGTTCGGCAGCAATTGAGGTCAGGTTTTTTTGTTTTTGGTTTTTTTTCCCCGCTCATCTAGCCTTTTGAAGGTATAGAGCCTGTTATAGTCATAACTTTCCTCTATTGGCCTCATGTACTCAACTGAAAAAGCTCTCCTTGAATAATCTTACTAACTCTATGGCTGCAACCCTCCCTTCCATGTGGATGGCCCCAATTCATTCTAGCCCTGACCCCTGAAACCTATGTTTCCAACAGTTCTTTAATAATAATAATGGGAACCATTTCTAAGTATTTTTTATTTACCAGATCCTATTTTAAATGCATTAGCTAGTTTATAAGACCTGAAGTAAGCTTATGGCTTCCTCATTTTACAAATGAGAGAGCTGAGAATTAGAGATGGCATGATTTTTAATCTCAGATCCTAAGTTTCAAATCAGATCCAGGGGTTGAATCCAGACTGCTTGACTCCAAAGCCAGTGCTTTCAACCAGTATTCTTCAATACTGTCTACTACATATATTCATCTTACCAGCCAGTTAGCAGCCTAAACTCAACCTGCTGAGTTTAAATCTTCCTTTAAATCTTCACCTCTGCTTAGTGTTCTGACTAGTGTGTGGTAGGCATTCAGTGAATATTTTTCAAATGATATCTGAGATAAAGTCCCTGAGACTGACTCCCTGTATCCTGAAATCGGGTCAGGCAGTTTGGATTTTGATGATACAGAGTACAGTCCTGATTATTTTGGTGTATAACCCGTTCCTGTGTATGTATGTATTTTAACCATCATTTACATAGCACTATGTGAGAGGCACTGTACTAAGCTTATATATATAAGATTTAAGCCTCACAGTAACAGTATTCAGCAGTCACCATTGTTATCTCCATTTTACATATTAGGTGAAGAGAAGTTAAGTGACTTACCCACTGTCACACTACATTGTGATTTGAACTCTGTCTACAATATCTCAGTTCTTTCCGCATTACTAAACCTGTTTTCTTTTATCAGCAACAAACTACCAACACTGTAGAGGAGCCTCTGGATCTTATCAGGCTCAGCCTGGATGAGCGAATTTACGTGAAAATGAGAAATGACCGAGAGCTTCGGGGCAGATTACATGTAAGTAAATTTATCAGATTACCCTGAGAGATGAGATTGTGTGCTTGTCCTTGCTTTCTACCCACTCCCTTGACGTGTAAGCACTGTCCAGTGTGAAGTGATGTATTGAAATGTAGACAAAAGGGAGAAAGCTGTGTTTCCACGAGCCAAACAAAACTGTATTTTATTCATATTTTATTAATAACATTATTTCTCGGGGCAGTGCCTATGGCTCAGTGGGTAGGGCACCAGCCCCATATACTGAGAGTGGCGGGTTCAAACCCGGTCCCCGCTAAAGAACAACAATGACAACTACAATGACAAAAATATATATAATGTTATTTCTCTTACCAGAAATGTGTCTATTATGGTACATTTCCATTCCCTACATTTTTTTCTCTTATGTTTATTTGTAAATAATGTTTTATTTATTCTCCATTCTTACTAACATTCTACACTAACATGTTAGTATACACAAATACTTCTGTTATGAGAAGTTAAGCAGCACAGAAATATATACTGTAAAAGGTAAAGTCCCATCTACACTATTAAAAAGTGGATTGTTGGCCTGGTGCCTGTAGCTCAGCGGCTGGGGCACCAGCCACGTGCACTGGACCTGGAGGGTTCGAATCCAGCCCCAGCCTGCCAAACAACAATGACAACTACAACAAACAAATAGCCGGGCGTTGTGGCAGGCACCTGTAGTCTCAGCTACTTGGGAGGCTGAGGCAAGAGAATCACTTAAGCCCAAGAGTTTGAGGTTGCTGTGAGCTGTGATGCCACAGCACTCTACCCAGGGTGGCATAGTGAGACTCTGTCTCAAAAAAAATAAAAAGGGGGTTGTCCTTTACGTGTATTTACACATATATACAGGGTAGACATAAAAGTCATGTGCAGTTTAAAAGAGTTTAACATAGTAAATTGTACACAAACTTAGGCACACCCTGTACACCTCTGTATGTGTGTGCATGTATTTACACTGTGTGTACTACCTCTACCAAAAAATGGATCTTGCTATGCAGATTTTTCAGCACTTTTTTTCACTTAATTTTTCTTAGAAATCATTGATCTTGAGTATATGTAAATCTTTATTCTTTTTAATGATTTCACAGGATACATATGACAGAAGTGATATTTACATTTCTGTTTTTCATTTCTTACTATAAATAATGTTTCAGTAAGCATTTCATACATATTTCTTTGTGCGTATCTACAGGTGTTTTCATAAAATTGGTCCGTAAGGGATCTCATTTGTTCTTAAAGAATATACTGAAGGTGTTGCCCCACATTGATAATTTATTTTCCTAAGCATATTGTTTCTATGACTCTCCCTCTACCCTAAAGTGATTAAAAATAGCTAACATGTTGAGCATCAACTATATGCCAGGTGCTGTTATTGTACGTGTTTTGTCTGTTACATCTCATTTAATCTTTATAATCATCATCAGAAGATTGATAGCTAATTATCCCTGCTTTGCAGCTGAATGCAGCGCAAGCTCAGAAAAGTGCAGTCACTTCCTCAAGGTGACATAGCCAGTAAAGGGACAGCCACAATGTGAGACTAGGTTCTAGGCAGGCTGATCTTATCCCAGCTCTTTAGTACTGTGGTGCCACCTTCCATAAAACATAAAGATGAAAAACCTCTGGGCTTGAGAAGGAAATGGGGACCTAGGAAGTCTTATACGGCTAGCCTTAAGGGAGCAGGCACTCCAGGAATGGAATAATAGCAACCTTAGAAAGAAAAACAGAATTGAGCTAAGTCTGTGGCACATGGAGAGACACCCAGAACAGACATGGTAACTCTTGGAAGCTTCTTCTGTTTCCTGTGTAGACTTGATTGTCTCATACTGAGAATATTATTTTCTGACCCTCAATTAGACATTTTCATTCTTGTTAATATGCCCTGCTTACCAGTTTCCCGTATGGCTGGTAGACTACTCTTATTTTGATGCGAGCAGGTGAACCATTTAATACTTTGCTAGAAGTAAACATGAGTGAGTTGTGAACCCAGGAGGGTGCCCTTTCAGTAAAATGTATGACCTTTGGAGCTTGGATTGAGTATCTTCATTGCAGCATTTCTTGATTGAGCCCACAGGTGCCAGATCTAAACCTAAGTTCTGGATAAGTGGTAAAGAGATTGTTGCTCCTCTTACTTTACCTTCATGGTATTTAGTCTCTTGGGTGCCTTTAGAAGACTGCAGTGCTGTCATCTGAGTAGTTAACCAAAAGAAGTTTATCTCCTTTACTGTATTTGTCTTGTCATACTGTTACAGGTAGAATTGAAGGAAGCCTACTGATGAGTGATTAATTTGATATTTTTTTGAATTATATTGATATTATAAATGGATTAATGATATAAATGATTATTTATTTATTTATTTATTTTGAGACATAGTCTCACTTTGTCACCCTTGGTACAGTGCCATAGCTCACAGTAACCTCAAACTTTTGGGATCAAGTGACTCTCTTGCCTCAGGCTCCCTATTAGCTGGGACTACAGGTGCCCACCACAATGCACCTGGCTATTTTGTTCTGTTTGTTTATTTGTTTAGGAGGCCAGAGCAGGGATCAAATTTACCAGTCCTGGAGCATGTGGCCAGCACCCTAACCACTGAGCTATGGGCACCCAGCCAATATATTTAAATATAATTTGTATTTAAATGAAGTGACTGCCTTAGATAACAAGTAGGATATATATTTAGAAAATAATTTCAAGTTACTTGGGGTAAATTGAGGGGGGGCATATAAACAGTTTTATATTTTTATCAGTTTAAGTTATCATTGGAAATGGTTTGTGAAAAAGTATTAGTACAGCAGGGTTATTTTTTATTTGAATGTAAAAGTTTGTGATATAAGTATCAAGTATGTACTTATAATTCAGCTATTTGCATATTATAACCCTTATTCATTGTTTCTTAATTTGATTATTAAATTTCTGGGTCTCACCCTCCCACTCCAGGCTTATGATCAACATTTAAATATGATATTGGGAGATGTGGAAGAAACTGTGACTACTATAGAAATTGATGAAGAAACATATGAAGAGATATATAAAGTAAGTCATACGGTTCTGTGCCTCACTTCAGAAATGTCGACCGTTCTGCACACCCAACAGTGTGACACATGCTTCTGGAAAGTAGGTGTCGTGTTTTAACACCTACTTATGGCTTGGTGTAGAGTGTAGCAATTAAAAGCAAGGGCTTTGGAGTCAGACAGACCTGGTTTCCAGTACTGGCTTGATCACTTCCTGCCTGGGCTATGTTGGGCAAAGGAATTAACTTTGCAGATTTCCTGTTGGTAAGCAAGAATACTACCACTTCCTCATCTGATTTCCAGATTCAATGAGATATGATGATGCAAAGTGCCTATGTGTGCTAGTGTGGTGGATTTTTTTTTTTTTTTTTTGAGGCAGAGTCTCACTATGTCACCCTTGGTAGAGTGCCGCGGCGTCACAGCTCACAGCAACCTCCAACTCTTGGGCTTAAGTGATTGTCTTGCCTCAGCCTCCCAAGTAGCTGGGACTACAGGCACCTGCCACACACCCAGCTATTTTTTTGTTGCAGTTGTCATTGTTGTTTAGCTGGCCCAGGCCGGGTTTGAGCCTGCCACCCTTGGTGCATGTTGCTGGCACCGTAACCACTGTGCTACGGGTGGTAGATTTGAGCTAACATTAATATTTGAAACAAAAACTGAGAAATTTTAAAATATTTGTTAAAAAATAATCTATCATGTTATGATTAGTAACATTTTTATGAATAGTAACTATATTTTCTAAAACAGTATTTAGTGAAGAGTGTCTTTGTTTCATATTTTTACACATTTTTTAAGTGCCTGGCTTATTGATGACAGCCAGGTTCTCGTATCCTTTTTTCTGTTGTAGTAGTTGGAAAATAGGAGTATGTTTTTGTGGATACTCCCCTATGATACTACATCCAAACTCCACAAGTGATGGTTTGTTGAAGTTTAGTTGCAGTGTGGAATCTGGAGCCACATCATTTATAATATTTAATTATGAACTTTCCATACACTTGTTACATGAAGAGTCACTGGTCTGCCTTGCACTTCTGGTGGCTCTTTCATTTGTATATGATTTGGCTACATCAGGCACCAGTCATTGAGGAAATACTAATTCGCTGAGTTATGCAGATTATCCAAATAGTAACACATCTCATTGTTCAAAATATTTTTTAAAACCACCTTCATTAATGTGGTTTACTAATGATCTCATCAGAAAAGTCTTTAAGTATTATGTTAGGGAGCCAAACTCTGGCTCTTCTAGAGCATAGTGGTTAAAAACGTGGGCTGAGATTTCAGGACTGCAGCAATTCAAATCTCAGAGCTCTTTTCATTTCATGCATAGCGTGGTGATACTTTTGTTGTTAGCTTTATGGTAATTCCCTGTATTGATGTCCTATAATTTATTTAACTAGTTTTCTATTGGACGAGGTAGCCATTATAGATGAACAGATAGCCATTTCCAGTCTCTTGCTAGTACAGACTATCCTGCTCCAAATAACTTTTATTTGGAAGTGTACATCTAGAGTAATTCATACTTTGATTTCTAGAATGGAGATTCCAGGAGAACAACTTTATGTTTTATTTCTACGTTTAATGCCTATCTTAGTACCTGACACATACATAATGGACACTCAATAAATGTTTGCGTGAGTGAACTTCAGTTTTAATCTCAGGCTGAATCAATTAGTTTCAAACGGAAAAGATTCTGTTTCATTGCCAAGGACTGCAGATCTAAGCTGTGTTACCTATCATACAATACACACAAAAAAAAAAAATTCTGAGTGAGATTCACCACCAATAGAAAATTTTTCTGATACTGAGTTTATAGCATACCTTTTTTTAACCTAAAGGACTAAAGTTTGCACACTGAACCCCTTGTGATAGACCATGTCCCTTTCTTTGTCAAGAATTAAGTGTCTTTTACCTCATATCCTGCCTGGATGATACGAACAGACAGCCCAAGGTAGGAAACTCACACATGGGTTGTTGAAAGTATACTCATGGACGTACTTGTTAATGTTGGCTGGTCTACGGGAACAATACCCACCCACCACCAACCCAGAGTAGCTCAGGTGGTTGATAAACTGCATCTGAACTGAGAGAACTATGAAGAAGCTGTAAATTCTGTTAGGAATCCGTAGCAGTGGGCTTCCCTGCATGCATCATAACCTTCATATTATTGTGTGGCTCTCCTTGGTGACCATGAAGCTCCATTCACGAAACTGTTATGAGAGATCTTTGTGGAGCTTGGGGCATTTAAGCCAGAGCAGCTCCTGCATCTCCCTGGTAATGGAGCTGTTATTTGGGCAGCTAGAGAAGAGTCACCGGAATGCTGTAAAGACTTCCACTTAGAAACCTGCTGCTACCTGGCTGGCACACTGTGTTTTCTTAGCACAGAGCCATGTACATTAGTGTCAGCATGGCTGTCTTAAGTTTTGTGAATTTGATAGTTGGGTTGTTCTAAAAAATGAGTGATAGTGGGTGTTGTGGAACCCTGCTTCCCACACAGAACACAGTCATCTCCACTGCAAAGGAGGCAACCAGGGCCTGGGACCTCCATGCACTTTGCAGTGCTTCCTGTCATATCCATGTGTGGCCCTTTGTGTTACAGAGACCTATACACCAAGAAAGATGAATTACTTGCCCCTCCACAGAAGCAGCAGGATATCCACAGTAACAAACTCCCTGTCAGAAAGGAAAGAGTGAGGTGTGAGGCAGTTACAGTCCCTTGCAATGGCAAATCCCTCTGGGAGGCGTGACTGCTCCCTGTCTGTCCCAGTGTTTGGAACTTCTACTAATGTAATTATGGTGTCCTGTCTCTTTACTTGTTAAAACTGGCCACACTAAGTGGGGGCTGCAGAGTTTTCATGGCCAACTTTTTTCTATGCTGGAAGACTCAAGTAGTCGATGCTTTTTTTTGGCCCAGGCTTATGATTTCTTTGGCAATGTAATTTTTTTAAAAACTGAGAACTTCATAAGTTTCTGATCTATCTACATCCAAATAATTCACTGGGCCAATAACCACAAAGTTTTCTCCTAAGCATAGTTACAGGACTCCTTTATTTCTTTAGTTCCTCACCTTTATTCTGCTCCTTCAAATTAATGTTCTATCATTGAGGCTGTTTGCTACCCAGAATTTGAGTGGAAAGACAACACCCTTAATCTGATCTTTGCCTCAGGGCTGAGTTTGTTTACCTGAGAAGTTTTACTGGACCTGTTTTTCAGAGCTCTTTTTCATACTTATCTTTTGCAGCAGTGTTTTCAACCTTTTTTATCACACATGCAGAAAGAGTTAAAAATATATATATATACTTACTGTGCTTTGAACTCCTTTCGAAAATAGTATGATTAATGATCTTTAAAAATTTTCATCCCACACAGGTTGAAAATCACTGTTCCACAGTTTGGGGTTTAAAAGCCCCAGTGGCTTTTCTAACCTTTCTAACCTAGAATTCTATTTCATCTCTGCTTGAAAACCATTTGGTTCTTCCCTGGGCTATTCTTGCTTATACTGCTCTTTGCATTAGGTTCATACAGCACCTGCTCACACTTGGCCTTTGCCAGCCTTCCTCCTGCCCCTAGGGTCTGTAGGTTTGGGAGGCCCTTGAACTGCCCACCAGGTTTTTGCTAATATTTTTCCAAGGCTTAATATTAGGATTTCAAGCATTCTGTGTGTTGCCTTACTGCCTGAAGCCTGCCCACTAAGCTGATGCGTCAGTAGTTCCATGTGTGCCACTGCTGTAGCATGGAGAAGTAATGGCTCAGTATAGTAGAAGTTAATGTCTTGCCCACATGACGGTCCTGGTGAGCTCTTAGGTTAGCACAGTAGCTTTCTTCCAGGTAGAAAGTCAGGAACCCAGGCTGCTATTCTTGATGCCTCTGCTGTCCCCTGAGTTCTTGCCATTATCTGAGTTCATCCAGTGATAGGAGAACAAACACAGGAGGGTCCGTGGGAGGTTTGCGGGTCAGCCTGGGTGGGATAGGAGAAGGAACACAGGGGGTCCATGGGAGGTTTGCGGGTCAGCCTGGGTGGGATCGGAGAAGGAACACAGGGGGGTCCGTGGGAGGTTTGCGGGTCAGCCTGAGCGGGCCTGTCACATCTCTTCACTTCCCATTGGCTAAAACTCAATCCAGTTGATCTGGTTGCAAAGGGAACATAGAAAATATAGTCTTGCTACATGCCTAGGAAGAAGAGGAGAATGAAATTTGGTGGGAAGCACCGTTCTCTGTTAGGAAAAGGTAACAATTAATAGATTGGTTCTTTGTGCTACAAAGGTAAATGATTAGTTTTTTTAGCCCCATTTTTTGTGTGTCATGATAAATCCATTTTTTAACATTTCTTTCACATAAAAATTTATATAAATGTGTTCTGTATTTTTCTCTTCCAGTCAACAAAACGGAATATTCCAATGCTTTTTGTCCGAGGAGATGGCGTTGTCCTGGTTGCCCCTCCATTGAGAGTTGGCTGATACAAAGAATTTATCACCAGGGAGACTTTGTCCAGTTGCCGCTTTAAATGTGCAAGACATTCAAGAGAGAAACCTGCGTACATTGCTATATTAACAAATGACCAAGGATCTTCCACTCCTGAAATGAGTTAGTTGGTATAACTCACAACTCCTTAAGCTAAATGTCATTTTTATTTTTCTCCAACATTTCCAATAAATGTGATCACCAAGGTCAGAACTTTTTTCAAAGGTTTGTTTGCTCCATTATTCTTACAGTTTCTTTAGATTAAATTTGATATTTTTAATGCAGTTCTCCTATCTTGTGAATTCTTTGAAGTGAGCACATGTCTTCCATTCACTTGGTACCCATTTATAGTGCACTATGTTGGAGGCACCAGGTGGTGTTGGGAACTAGTTTTATCCGGATGCTTCCTGTTGACAAGTCTTCTAGGGAGGCAGTTTAAACCAGAAAATCCTCGGCAGTAAGATTGATGCTGATAGAACAATGCACACAGGGAAGAGCTCCAAAGTCAGAAGGGGGTTAGGGGTCATGTGTCATTACAAACTTGACATCGCAGTGGAAAGCACAGCAAAGCAGCATTTCTCTTCTCTGGCTTGATTCACACCTAAGAGGATGCTTCACATACACCTGTGTGGTTCAGCTTAGTCACACCTACCAATGCTGTACTTCATGACAGAGAAACCCTTTCTCCACTCTTGGATCCTAGGCCTTAATGATGAAGAGTCTAAAACAATATCTAAGTGGCACAGTAAGACAGAAAGTGGCTAGAAGCAAAGCTGTTTTTATTTCTATCTTCAGTCAGCCAGCACTTAAGGCTTAAAATGGAAAGAATAAGGTATATGTGTATAACAATCTCTAAAACTTTATCAAGACAGGACTTATTTTTCTAAAAGATAAGTTAGAAAAAAAAACAGCTTAGAACCTGACATCCTCCACTAAGTAGGTCATTTTACTTTGAAATGGAAAATGCCTCATTTGTGGATGGCTTGTATGTAAATGTGCTGAATGTGTTTGTTGACCCATTGTCAAGCATGGTATGCTAACGTGCACAGTATTTTAAGTCACATACAAGAAAGGTTCATTCAGTCGACATTTTATTAAAAAGATGTTATTCATTGTACGTGTCCCTGCAAGTTCACAGAAAAGAGAAAAGCAAACGAGCACAAGCTGATGGATGTTTTATCTTACCTGAGCAGTCAGGAGAGACACACTTCCACTCCCACATTTTTTTGTTTTTTGTTCCTTTTGAGACAGAGTCTCACTATGTCGCCCTCGGTAGAGTGCTGTGGTGTCACAGCTCACAGCAACCTTAAACTCTTGGGCTTAAGCAGTTCTCTTGCCTCAGCCTCCCACGTGGCTGGGACTACAGGCGCCCACCACAATGCCCGGCTACTTTTCTGTTGCAGTTGTCGTCATTGCTTAGCTGGCCTGGGCTAGGTTCAAACCTGCCAGCCTCAGTGTATGTGGCCGATGCCATAACCACTGTGCTACGGGCACTGAGCTAACTACTCCCACGTTTTGTCCTTAGGATTTAGTGGTCCTAAGAGGTAACTGACCTCTTCACCATGTCCTGTTCATTGTTGAAAGAGTGAGACGGGCAACTCTAGCAGTAGCAAGAGGCTGTTCGTTTGGATCCCACTTTCTCAAGTAGAACCCTTACCTAAGTGATGATGATATTCAACAATAATTGCCATAATTTGTTGAACAAAGTTCATCAGGCAAGGCATTTTATATACTTAGTTTAATTTTTACAATTGCAGAAGAAACCGACCATAAGTCTGTGGTCACACGGCACGTGGCAGCAGGATTGAGCAGTCTGACTCCTGCCTGTGGGAGTCTTTGATAACGTACACTGTGCCAAGGCCCTGGCTCTGGGTAGTAAGTTGAGTGTGTATGTTGCAGTTGAGTTTTGTGTACCTGTGAAGGTGACTGTCCACCGCAAGCATGATATGACAAGCCATCTAGCCCTCTTGCTCTGCCACCCTCTGCAATTTTCTCCAGCATTTGCCTTCATTTTTAGGGTGTCTGATATCCACACTTAGTATCTGGACACGGTCTTTATTCTTGGTCATGTCATCTTTCTCCTGGAACTGATAACATTGCACTAGAGCTTTTGGCTGTGAGAACTTGTTTACACACAGGTTTCTAATGAACCTTGAAATCTGGCACAGTTACCTTCACAGGCACACAAAACTCAACTGCAACATACAAACATCCACGTACTTCCCAGCTGCTACATACAGGGGGAGGCGTTAACCACCTGAGTGCTACCATATGGAGGGAGAAGAAAGAGCGTAAATTTTGTGAGCCCTTTTGGAGTTGGGACTTAATCCACAGCAGGGACAGCTGAAGCAGGGCCCTGCCGCCATCCTCCATGTCAAGGTTGCCTGTACAGGTTGGCAGGGGCACTGTCCTCTTAGGGGTCAGTCATTCTGCCAGAGAGACCCCAGGAACCGTGTCTTGGACTTCTGGGGCTTCACAGCACTCTGCTCTGGCCAGCCGGATGGCCCATGGTCACTGGAACTGGTGACTGGTGGGTTCTGCCACATGCTATCACTTAGGTCAGGGGAAGCCTCCACCATCTTTTCTTCAGAAGCTTCTCCAGCAGGTATAACGCCTGGATCTCTGTCTCGTGAAAGAGATTGTTAGGAATTGTCGCCTCCCATGAAGAAAGATGGACAGACAACATGGAGGCCCACAGGTTCATTTTAGAGACGAAATGTCCCCAGTCGGAAACCCCAGCAATTTGGGTTCTAAGTTAAACTAAAATTGTGAGCTACAAATAGACAATTTTCAAATTTCAAACAGTGATTTTTGAAGATCTGCTCAAACTGTAGGTGTCATCCTTCAGGGCACTAAAAGGAAAACTTCGGTTTTACACAGCCTTTTATTTATTCTTTCATAAAATGCAGTAGAGCCTCCACAGTTGACCACCTCCCCACGTTGATCACCTCAAGCTGACCTAATTTTCATAGACTAGACATGCACCACATGCACACGTCAGTATATTAGGCCTAGTTCTGAACGTTGACCAGTTTGTTACAGTCCCTTGGGTGGCAGTAAGGAGTACTTAGCTATTACCCACATTGCTTTTACCTGCAGCCACAAGGGTAAGAATGTGCCATTGTGTGAACAGTTGCCAGCTGTGAGTAGCATTCCTGTGTTGAATATGGAAAATAACCGACAGTTCCAAAAGTCATTCTGACTGGATCAAGAAGCACAATCGATGTTTCTCTAGGTCACTCAGTTCTGCTAAACTATGTGGGTTTCATTCAAAAGCAAACTCTTCCCTATAGCAGATTCAGGTTTCCAGTCTACCTGCCTGCCAGCTGCAGTAGTCTCATTCTTGACTGGTCCATGTGCCCTTCTGCAGGCTAGTCACTATGGCAATGGCCATGAGAACGTAGGGCTCTGACTGGCCACGCCAGTCACACGCCCATTCCTGAACTGAAGAGCAAGGTTATCCACACCCGATGGACCAGCCATCTGGGCTGTGTGAAGAGGGAGGGTAGTTGTCTGAAGGAAGCCAGTGGGAAGGGGGAAGGAGGTAGGAGACAATGCCTACTATGTACGGAGAGCTTTCTGTCTGCTCTGACTTACAGAAAAGTAAATCCCTTTGGTAATTTATTATTAGTGACAAGTTCCTTGAGAGGCATCTCAGAGAGACACTATGAGTTTAAGCCATTGTTCCAGAATCTTGGAGGAGGTTCTGGAGCAGCCTGAGAGGGGATCAGTATGGGTAAAGCTCAGATTGTACCATGACAGGGCCTGATGGCAGCTGGAGTCAGGTGGAGGGCAGCAATCTCGTGTTCTTGGCACTGGGGACCAGTTTCATGGAAGACAATTTTTCCATGGACTGAGATGGAGGGATGGTTTGGGGATGATTCAAGCACATTACATCTCCCCCTCAGAGTATCAGGCATTGGATTCTCATAAGGTGCACACAACCTAGACCCCTTGCATGTGCACTTTACAGGAGGATTCATGCTCCTATGAGAATAATGCCAGGAGGCAGAACTCAGGCAGTGATGCCAGTGATGGGAGCAGCTATAAATACAGATGAAGCTTCACTCGCTCACCTGCCGCCCACCTCCTCATGTGTGGCCTGGTCTGTGGGCTGGGGGTTGGGGACCATAGATCTAGGGGGTCTAGATGGGGGACTCCCACACAGGGGGCTGTTAGGCTGGGGGTCAGTATTAGGGTCCTCTGAGCTTGTGGGAAGGACAGGATACTGGAACAGAGTGAACTGAGGAGCACTGAGGCCCATCGGATGAGTTGCTCTTACATACGCACAGTCCCTGGCACAGTAAGTGTTGGATGGGTGAATAGTTATACAACACGAGGCCTAGCGACGTTACTATTTGGGATCATCATTGTGGATGGAAGGGTCAAATGGTGCCTTCAAAGAAGGTGAACTTTGTGTGATATTTTCCAGACACATGGGGTGACCTTCCCACAAGTGGACAATGTCTCCAACATTTTTACCCTTCTGGCCGTCTTCCCCATTACCACCCCTGAGGATATCAGTACGTGCCAACTGGGCATACCTAACTAGTTATCAACTGACATGGAAAACTAACACCAAGAAATGAGGAAGACGAGGCCAAATAGTTTAAATTCCTTTTAGACTCATTGCTGCACTTTAATAAACCAGAGCATGTAGATTCTTATTCCCTTGGCTAGCTACTTCTAGCAGCTTCCGGGGTGTGGAAACAGAATGCCTCACTGTGGTTTCTGATATTGATTACTCCAGAGAAATGTTTTCTCGGTGCTCATCTCACCCACCTGCAGTGCAGTAGATGTCAGTAGAAGCCCCGGTGAGTTGGAAACTGACCCCAGACATCTAGCAATGCAATGGGGTCAGAGAAATCTGGCTTCAGATCTCCGCTCGCTGTATACCCACTGGACAAATGCCGTGTGTCCTAAGTTGGTTGTAAGGACTAGAAAGTGTCTCTGTGAGCAGCCCAGGGCGGTGCTGGAATGTTGCTGTCACCTCCCTGTCACCAGAGTGAGACAGCACAGAGGTGGAATGGGCATCAAATGTGCCCTGTGTGCCAGGATCTCTCAACAGAAGAGTGAACAAGGCCAACTAAACGGATGACGCCAAGTGCTGAAATGGACCTTAGGGGGGTGAGGAGAGTGGCCAGTGCTGAGGAGGGTCAGGGGAGGTCTGTCTTTGGAAGGAACATTCAAGCGGACATCTATAAGAGCAGGAGGTGA